CGTTTGTTGTCCTCTTCTCCCTCTCTGCCTACGGTTTACCGGGCAGTTCTATTTGACGATATATATATATATATATATATAGAGAGAGAGAGAGAGAGAGAGAGAGAGTTTTCCAACCATGCACACAAAGAGATAGAGAGAGGCTACTTCGATCGGTAGGATGAGCAATATCGGGATGAATCTTTCGCTAGAACATTGAAATATACCATACCTGCGGCGCAAGTGTGCAGCGCGCCATGCGGTGCGGTGCGGTGCGCTGGTCACCGATGCACGAGGAAAAAAAAAGAAGGAAAAAAAAGCTCCTGTGATGTGTGAGAACACGAGAGAGAGAGAGAGAGAGAGAGAGAGAGCAGAAAAATAACTCCTTAACATTAATAAGAAACCCCCTGCGGGTTATGTGAGAGGCCCCTGCAGAGAATTGGCAAGGGCCTCCTCACCATGAACGAGGCAAGCTCATACACACGCTAGAGTCATGGGACGCCAAGTATATATCGTGTTGATTCACGCGGACAGAAGCGAGCCAACTGACCACATGCTTTTCAAGGCTTCCCTCCACTACTCGCCAAATGTGCAAAACTAGATTGAATCTTCTGCTAGAACATGTAATCATACGCCGCCATATGTTTTGTCTTTTGTGCAATTGGTGACGAGTGGAGCAAGGCCCTCAGGGCCACTGCTCGTAGGAAAACAAAAGAAAAGAAAGAGAGAGCCACCAAATGTGCAAAACCAGAATGAATCTTCTGCAAGAACATGGAATCATATGCCACCATATGTTTTGTCTTTTGTGCAAGTGGTGACGAGTGGAGCAAGGCCCTTAGCGCCACTGCTACGGTAGTAAGTAGTTCTCACTTGCAACCCATAACTGCTGGAAAACAGACCTGACTTCGGATCCAGACTATATATTGCTGGCCTGCTCCACCCTTGAACGGAATTTGTTGAATGTCTCTTGAGACGTTGGGACCCTTGCAGATGCACTGCTGGGGTCCTTCGGGAAAAAGGCTATGCAACAAGAAGTATGTGGCCCCATTGTTTTTTTTCTGTGACCTTAGATTTTTCAGACGGGAGGGTCAGCATTGGCTACCTCCGCCAGCCCTCTCCGATTTTTTTTTTACCCTATTTGTTGGGGTGCACCGCATCATGTGCGCGCGCATGCTTCCGCGTGCGCTATGCGCCGCACGTGTGGGGCTCGCACGCACGAGATGCGATGCAGGTATGAAATATACACTGCAACTTTTTTTTTGGGGGTGTGTGCGTGTGTGTGTGTGGCCGTGAGAGAGAGAGAGAGAGAGAGAGAGAGAGAGAGAGAACAAGTAAGTCTTTAAACTCACGGTTGCCTCGCGTGACTTCCATATACACTACTACACTTTTGTTTGTTTGTGTGTGTGTGTGTGTGTGTGTGTGTGTGTGTGTGTGTGTGTGTGTGTGTGTGTTTGTTTGTGTGTGTGTGTGCGTGTGTGTGTATGTGTCTGTGTGTGTGTGTGTGTGTGTGTGTGTCGATAGGATGACCAAAATCGAATGGATCTTCCACTAGAACATGGAAATATACACTAGTACATTTTTGTTTGTGTGTGTGTGTGTGTGTGTGTGTGTGTGTGTGTGTGTGCGCAGAGAGATAGCCAGAGGCTACTTCGATCGATAGGATGAGTAAAATCGAAATGAATCTTCCGCACTGCGACTTTTTCTTTTTGGTGTGTGTGTGTGTGTGTGTGTGTGTGTGTGTGTGTGTGTGTGTGTGTGTGTG